GAGTTGACTCCTCCCACACTAAGAAAACAGGAGGGGAGGGGTCAGCGGAGCTCCTGTGTTGCGGAGCAGAGAGACACGAAGTAAACAAACAAGCAGGAAAATGAAACTTATCGGCCCCTTTTTTTTTTACCGACCTCAAAAAAAGTTATCGTGCGATTAATAGATTAATTGACTATCGCGACAGGCCTATATTTAACTTTTATTAGTAATTTAGAAATTAAAAATGTTCATACAATGGCATAAGTTGTCTAAAACATTAAAGCAGGGCTATTCAAGTGGTGGCTTACGGGCCACATCCGGCCCATGAGTGACCAAAATTCATTCATCTCTTAAGCCCAAACCCACAGTTTTCGACTTTAATTACTCTAAGTTATTTTAGTTAGACATTAGCTGCGTTTCCATTGACCACGAAAATGCGCAAATTAGAATTTCGAAAATAAATTTGCTCAATGGAAACATGTCAATTAAAAAAAAAACGTTTTTCGACAAAATGTTTTTGCACTAGGATGAGGTGATATTTCAGCCGTATCGAAATTAGTGTTTTTCACAAAACTGCAATAGAAACACTTTTTTCGCATCACGGGAGTCACGTGATCAACAACCGGCTGTTTCTATTGGTGAAAAAGACGACGACGAAGATGATAACAGGAAGTAAGTAGTAGTAAAATCACAGAAGTAGTAAAAGAAAGTAGTAAACTCACCGACTACAATTTCCCAAAAACACAGCATATGTAGCTGCTCCTAAGTAGGTACTGGTCGCTGGAAAGCCTCGATAAAAGACGTCGACGTCTCCTCTGATGATAAGCGCTAGTGTCGTGGTAGCAACATGCTATGTGTTTACATCCATTGCCACCATGTTTGTAATGACTTATCGCGAGAACAAACGTAGTCACGCGTGACTTTAATAGCATGTCTTACTTAATTGAAACACTGCAGTTGCGAAACTGTGTTTTTCGACATTAACAGAATATCGAGAAAGTTTTGCGCACATTTGCAATGGAAATGCAGCTATAGACATGTTTGGTATCTACAGAAACTTCAGAATCTTGGCTATAAGCTGGTAAAAACATTTCTATGAACACTCAAGACAGTTCAAACTACAAGCAGTTGAAAATAAAACTATGAAAAAGAAAATAAAATTGGTTTAAGTATTTGGCAAGTCAGAGATGTCAAAATATTATTTGTGGAAAATAAGAAGCATAATGTGTTATTTTTGTTTTTGTTTTATTATCACTACTTTTATTATATAGGGTTCTGTTTGTTGGATTCATGATTAAATGCAGCAAAACAAACTATTTCAAAGGTAACAGATCTTTGTAATACTTGGTTTGATTACATAATGACTTGCTGGACGTTCGGCCCCTCAGCTGTTGACCTGCAGTAACTGTGGCCCTCAGAGTCATTTAGCTGAATAGCCCTGTGTTATAGTGTGACAGGGCCTTTAGCCAAATTGACAGATATGTTAAAGTTTGATATGATAGTAGCTGAGCATCATCAATACAACACATCACAGTATGCTTAATATGATTTAAGAGGCCTGACCAAACCTGTAATTTTCTCTTTTCTTATCATAAGATGACCTTAAAACTTTGGCCTGAAGTGGCTGGTGACTCATTCACAGAATAATTGGCCTTTTTTCCTATTTTTTTAATCTAAGAGCTGCTACGTATTTAAATGACATGAAATGAATATACACAATGTGATTTACCTGTAATGAATCTGTTTTTAGTCTGTCTTTGTGTTCCTCTGATGAACGAAGCACTTCTCTGTACATCTCTGCAGCTTCTACAAACTCATCTGAGGTTGGGAGAGAAAAAAGTCAACGTTTGTGTCCATCACATGCAGAAGCAGAAAATCTCCTAAAATAATGTGCTCAAGTAAGTGTAGTTACACAGCTGAAACTTTACTCAAGTACAAGTAAAACTACCTGTGTGAAAATCTACTCAAATAAAAGTAAAAAGTAAATCATTAAAAACTTAATTTAATTAAAGTTAGCTACTTTTTCATAGCAGGAAGAGCTCTTTCAAGTACACTGCACAGACGACAAGAAGGCTATTTTTTAATGAAAAGCCTCACAGTTTATTATCATTTACCCTCTTCTCCTTTATGAGTCACAAGGGGCTGGTGCCTATCTCCAACAGTCACTGAGAAGAGGGGTGGGGGGTGGGGGTGGGACCTGGACAGGTCTCCAGTCCATCACATGGACATATAGAGACAAATGAGACAAACAACTATTCACCCTCTCACTCACACCTTGTGACAGTTTAGTTACCAAATAACGTAACATGCATGTTTTTGATCTGTGAGAGGAAACTGCAGTCCAAACTGCCAAGTTTAAAATTACCGTATTTTTCAGACTATAAGCCGCAAATTTTTTCCTGAACTTTGAACCATGTGGCTTACAGTCCGGTGCGGCTTATACG